CTGCCACTGATCCGAGAGGAGGTGGAGCTCGGGTGGCAATGCAAGCAATGGGGAGTGGCTGTAAATACAGATGAGGCTTCCCTCGCTAACCTGCCACTCGCCTCCTGCTGGGTGGCCCAGTTCCTAAGTGACCCTGTTCCTAATGTGCCAAGGACCTGTACCAATCTGTAGCCTGGGGATTGGGGACCACAGCTCTAAAGGTAAGGTGTCATTTCTTTAGCTGCTTTGAATATTTTTTCTTTGTCTTTAGTTTTTAAAGGTCTGACTATAATTTGTCTTGGTGTGGATTTCTTTTGATTTTCCCTATTTGGGTTTCACTCATCCTCTTGGTTTTGTAAATTTGTCTTTTACCAAATTTGGGAAGTTTTTAGCTAATATTTCCCTAAGCACTTTTTCAGCCTCATCATCATCATCCTGTCCTCTGGAATTTTTATCAGGGAAATATTAGATCTGTTTTTATAGTCCCACAAATCCCCAAAGCTCTGTTCATTTTTTAAAAAATCTATTTTCTCTGTTCTTTCAATTGGGTAGTCTCTATTGTACTATTTTCAAGTTGACTGACTCTTTCCTCTGTCACCTACATTCTAATGTTGAACCCATACATTGAGCTTTTTATTTTGGTTATTGTAGTTTTCAGTTCTAATAGTTCTACTTCTTTTTTTATATCTTCTATATCTTTGCTGAGATTTATGTTTCTTTGCTGAGACTCATTTTTTAAAAAACTTGCTTCAACTGCATTTGTAATTACTTGTTGAACCATTTTTATTTTGGCTTTTTCAAATAATCCTAGCATGTCTGTCATCTCCTTGTTGGCATATATTGGATATTTTTTATTTTCATTTAATTTGACTTCTTTCTGTTTCTTGGCATGTTGTGTTTGGCTGCAGTAAAGCCGTTACTGTATAAAAGTTTTCTGTCTCACAAGGGGACTTTTTCCTGGTCCTTTAGCTAGGGAGAGTCGGTTTTATTGAGACTTCTTCTCCTTTTCCTTCTCCTTCTTCTTCC